CAGCAGGAAACTGCATACAGAGTATATGGAAGGGGAATGGGCTGCTTTAAATAGGCATTCCAGAAAGGACCTCTGGGTTCTGTTTTTGCTTTGATGACATAAACCTGAACCCCTAGTCTTGGACAGTACTTCTAAAAACCTCTGACCTAAGAAAATTTTGAAATGGCAATTTCTGAAGCCACCTATTTCCCAAGAATATTTCCAACCCTCTCTGTCCTGCTCCCTATGGCATGGAGATGAAAACACAAGAAGCACGCACAGGCTCGGTATAAAACCTTGGAAAAGAGAAACGGTGGGCAGAGTTTCCAACATTGGCCTGTGGCTGGATGAACCCTGTGATATTTGGGTACATGCTCATCCCCTTACTCATCAACTGTACCTCACTGTGGGGCAGGGGAACCTAACTAAGAGAGGTAATAAACACAATCTGTGTCTTCAAGCGGATTACAGTCTATCTGGGTAGAAGGCATCAGATAAGCTGGTGTGACAAGGTACATGGCACAGAGGCTCAGAGGGTTGACAAAAGACTCAGTGGAGATGGAAGGCCTGCGCAGAGACGTAACTGATGACTAGGGGTTGGAACGCAGAGAGGCCAGCGCTCCACTGCTGCCGTCTTGCAAACACCTGCCTGTATAGTTTTTTTGACATCATGCCCAGAAAAATGTCTATCTATGTTATCTTTGCCGTTGAAAGAAACATTTTTGCAATAATGAAGAAATACAAATATAACTCCTCATCAAATGAAACAACGTTCACCATTTCATTCACCCCAGAACGTTGCCCCTTGTGCAAGACCACACACCAGCCGCACTCAGTCTTTGTTATGTGTGTATGTGTGGGGTGACGGGAAAAGCAGGGGTTGGTGGACGGAAAGGCCTAGAGCGGCCACCAGACCGACTATTATTTTCCTCCTTATACAGTTAAAGAAAATACATTTTAAACATGAACTTCAACATTGAGATAAATTGGGCAGGTTGTACTTTGAACCAATACTTTGCATTGGTGCTAAAAGTCCTTTCCCCTTAGCCCCTGTGATGAGCATGTAACTAGCTGGCTATCCGGGGCTATTTATTTCTATTCTGAATGACTTCAGAGGGTGCAGCTGGGATAGCAGTACTCACATGCGGACTGGTCTGAGGGAGGGAAGTGAGCCAGTGTCCCGGAAAGAGGCAGCCAGGAGAGCTCTGGTCCTGAGGAATTTCTCTGCCTGGGGAGTGTGGTCATTTCTCCCACCTCCGCAGCAGGAAGAGAAGACTGGGTCAAGACTGAAGTGGCAGCCACTTGGGTGTGCACAGTCACTTCTTCAGGGAGCCCCTGCCCCCTTGCCGGGGAACCCCAGGATGTTCCGCTTTCCGTGTGAGGAGGGGCGGTTCTTCCTTCTGACCCTGAACTGCTGGACGGCGGGCGATGCCTTCCCAAGGCTGAAAGCAGACAGCCACAATTAAAATTCCACCAGCAGACTTCCAAATGTCTCAACAATCTTTGAGTGGGCTCACCTCTGACCTCTATAAAATAGACACGAGAAGAAATTAGGAGCCATTGTTCCTTCTATGAAAAATCACCTCCTGAAGGAGAGACCACAAACCAAGACAAAGACTGTTTTCAGATCTCACAAACAGAGATTCTGCATTTTGTGGTAAAACTATCAGCAAAGGGGCACAACAAAGGTAAGTATCAGACGATAAAGAACCAGGGATCGGCTTCTGATCATCGTGACTCATCACTCACATTCCACAAAGTTGGTCCCAGAATTCACTTGAATTTAACATAAACAAAATTTCCACTATCTGGGTGACCAACAAACCCAGGCTGCATCACGTGCAGTTTCTAAGCTCTGTATCCATCATTCACGAATGGAACTTAAAATACTGTCCTATGTACTCTTTACAGAATTGAGTCCCCCCAACCAGACCTCCCATCACTAGGGTGTGAAACCACGGGGTCATCTTTGATGGCTTCAGCCCCTAGTTTTAGGCCATCACGTCACCAAGCTGTATCGATTTTATCAAGTCTTTACCAATCCCTTCCGCTCCATCCCTGAGGCCAGCAGGCCACATGTTAGCACCTGGTGCCTGGATTTCTCTGTCTGCCTGGGTGGTCCCCTGGACTCCAGGTTCCTTCTGCCCCATCTCTCATCCCAGACATCTTATACCCACGTGCCAAGTGAACCCTGCCCAAATTCACTGTAATCATGTCACTGCCTGTTCGAAAACCTCCAGTGACTTTTCCCACCACACCAAATCAAAACTGCTTGGTTTTCAAAGTCCTCAGTAATTGTGCCTAACCCCACCCAGATGACTGTCGTACCCGCAGCTCCCCTCCTCTGTGTGTGACTTATGTCTGACCCGAGGGAGGCTGCTGGCCTTGCCACCCACGAAGAGGCCACACTTCTCTTCCTTCCTCTGTATCTTTGCTCATATGGTCCAGGCATCCCACTCCTCAGCCACCCTTCCCACCAATACAGGCTTAGGCACAAATCTCAGCTCTGAAACCTGTTAACTGTTTGACCTGCACACGTTGGATTGATTATTTTCTCTAGCTTCAGTTTCCGAATTCCTAAAATGAGAGTAATGTGACCTCACCACTTGCTGTGAGAATTGAGAGACATGTTGGTATAGCACAGGTACTAGCTGGTGCTAGCTTTCTTTGTCTTCCCTTCCTCAATCAAATCCTGCTCATCCAGCCCCAGCCCCTTCTTGAAATCCTTTGCTAAAAATGGCAAACCACAGAGCTGTGCGGACCGCAGCGAGAACAGCCATCTGAGCTACATGAACACAAACACGCAGCCAAGCAGCCCACCAGAGCCGGTACCTAGGAGACTGCAGCGTGTGGCAGGACTGCTGATGTGTGGATTCAGTCTGGCCATGGAATGTAGATTCCATGGCACTGGTCAGGCCACTCAGCAAAACTGCACCCTCACCTGGTCTAGGCTTATAACTCAATTAACCACAGTGAACCACAGGTGGAGCCTAAGGCACAGGTCTGGTTCACCCCGGCCCAGGACCCTTGGCTGAGCACTGCGGCTCAGGATGCGGGGAGGCAGAGACCAGCAGACGTTAGGTTTTCCAGGACTGGACATACATGCATGACATGAGTGTCATCAGCCTAAACTCACCTAAGGTGCTGCTCTGGGAAGTCAGAGCGGCTGCTCTCTCAGGCCCAACAGGGGAAATGGCGACAGCTGTCCTCCTTGAAGAGTCACTTCTTCCTGTAGCTGCTGTTTCAGTTTGTGGAGTGAAGTTTCCTGGAGCATCTGAAGAAGCATGGCTCTTCCTGGGGGTCTGAACCATCACATCCCCTTTGGAGACCACGGTTGAAAAGTCCACTTGATTCTGATCAAAGGTAATATTTTCTGTGTGGGGTTGTTGTTCAGTGTTGCTTTCTAGCCAGTGGTTTTTTACAGCAGCTGAAACAATAGGAAAATGGATCAGTGAGGACTTGTTGGCTTCTGAAAAGAGAAGTAAACCTTCAGAAAAGGTATATGAGCAGATATATCAGGAGAAGTGGATTCAAGGAGAATGATCTCACCTTTCTTTGTTCCAACAGTCATTATTCTTGCAATCCAGCGGAAGAAATTATGAAGCAACAACACTATATAGGGTTAAATTTTATAACAAGTGGAATAAGTGACGAAAATTGATAGAGACCAATTTGAAGTTATTGCTGATCACATGGGTCCTTGAAAAAACCCATTTTTATCTTCCCATTTGGGAATGATATTTTTCTTTCTGCTTAGGCTCGGGGGCTGTTGAGAAAGCTCTGCAGGGATGAATGAAGTCACTTCTATCTATACGAGTCAGGCAAAAATGGCCAACCACTGGACCAGTAAAGGCTGCAAGCAGAACCTACAGTTCAACTCAAAATATCATACGCACATGGGTGCGCACACACACACACACAATCCCAAAGGAGCAAGTTATCTTCTAGATCAGCCCTGTCCAAGAGATGTATAAAGTAAGCCACAGATGCAAGCCACATAGGTAACTTTAAATTCTGTAGTAGCCACATTTTTAAAAGTAAAAAGAAACGGGTGAAATTAACTTTAATAAATATTTTATTTACTCCAACATATTCAAAATGGTACTTCAATATGTAATTATGTAATTGATATAAAAAATCACTGAGATATTTTGCATTCTTTTTTTGGTATTAAACCTTTAAAATCCAGAGAGTATCTTGCTGGCCACACTTCAAGAGCATGCTAGCCACATGCGGCTAGTGGCTGCTATATGGACAGTGCAATTCTAGAGCAATAGTTCTCAACACTGTACCCACGCTGGTCCACTCCAACCTGAAGCAGTGGCTCACTTACTGGAGTTGGAGGGGTGGTGATTATAAATTCTTCCGTAAAGAGATTCTGACAAACTTTCCTAAGGGAATCATTTCCTCCCCAAGTCCCTTGAGAATTACTGTTTTCATGCTTCCTATTCTGTTTCCTGTGAGTGATAATTAACAGAAGCTTCCTAAGGAGAAGGGAGCTTCCTAGGCATCTGGGCTCCTCTGGGGCCCAGGCCCAGACAGGCAAGGTCCACAATCAGCTAGAAATGGGATGTGGAGGGGTGTTTCTGGGGCAGCCACCAAGTCCACAAGTTCAACTTGGGACTCTGGGGTTATGGACACATGTAACCTTTGTTCTTCCTCTCTGAGCTGCAAAGGCAAGCTGGCCTCCAAAGAGGAAGGGAAAGGATTTGAGGATGCCTTCCCTACCCTCTTGGTCAACTCGGCACAATGAGAGAAGTTACTCTCAAAAGAAGCCAGAAAAAAAGTGATTGTGGGGAGGTAGAAGGGACTTAAAACCCATGCTCCAAAACTGTTAAGCCATGAGCAAAGGGAAGGAAATGGATTTAGCTCTATTACAGCCTCAAGATGAGTGTGAGACTTGGCCAACGGTGAGCGTGGCTGGGCCTCTGGAAGCAGCCACGTCCCCTTCTTGAGGGAACAAAGAATAGATATCCCAAGATCCAGTCAGCTCAAGGAATTCCAGTCTTCAAAGGAAAAGAATGGCCACATGAAGACAGAACATGTTTAGCAATGAACCATGTGGTCTCCCTGGAGGGTTGACTAAAAATGGAAGGCAGGAAAAATGCACTCTATAAACAAAACTAAAAGGTAGACAATAGTCCTGCAGTATCCTGAATAACCCTGCACTAACAACAACTAAAAATGCTGAATAAAATGTTTTGTTTTGTTTTTTTAAAAAATACTTCTAAATGCATTGCTGAGTTGGCACACAAATCTTGTGAGGTCAAAAATGAACTGGGAGTTGGAATTCAGAGAGTTGCGCTAACTCTGAAGCTGGCAGCTGCCCTGGGGCACCTTCTCAATATTTGTGACCTTGAACTTCTGTTCTGATGGCCACAGGGATGCAGGAGATAAGAGACAAAATTCTTAAGGAGGGAGTCTGAGAGGAAACTCCTATATGAAGTTAGGACCAGGGCTATACCTTGGATGTAAGGCAAATAGAAACAAACCTGCCCTGCAGAAGAGGACAGCAAGGGAATCTGGAAAAATAACTTTCACTCAAGAATTTATAACCATAAATCTAGCCGTCACACGAGGGTGCAGCACATAGTCACAATACCTGTGTGGTCTAAACCTCAAGCCAAGGGTGTGTTTGAAAGTGGTCCTATAGAGATTACCATACTAAGTGAAGTAAGTCAGACAGAGAAAGACAAATATCATATGATATCACTCATATGTGGAATCTAATTTTTTTTTTTTGGTCATGGCTCACAGCATGTGGGATCTTAGTTCCCTGACCAGGGATCGAACCTGCCTCTGCTGCATTGGAAGTGCAGAGTCTTAACCACTGGATCGCCAGGGAAGTCTAGAATCTAATTTTTTAAAAATAATACAAATGTACTTATTTACAAAACAAACAGTCTTACAGTTATCGAAAACAAACTTATGGTTGTCAAAGGGGAAATGTAGGGGGGAGGGATAAATCAGGACCTTGGGATGAACATACACACACTACTATGTATAAGATAGGTAACCAACAAGGACAACTGTATAGCACAGGGAACTCAACCAAATATTCTGTGATAACCTATAAGAGAAAAGAATCTAAAAAAGAATGAATATATGTATATGTATAACTGAATCACTTTGCTGTACACCTGAAACTAACAACACTGTAAATCAAGTATACCCCAATAAAATTAAAATTTTAAAAAAAGTAGTCCTGAACCTTGTGAATACGCTAAAAACCAGTGAATTATATACAGGCATACCTCATTTTATTGTGCATTTTTTACAAATTCAAAGTTTGTGGTAACCCTGTATCAAGCAAGTCTATTGGTACAAACAGCATTATTTTTAACTGAGATACGTACATTGTATCTTTTAGACAGAAGGCTATTGTATACTTAACATACTACAGTATGGTTTAAACATAACTTTTTTTTTTTTTTTTTTTTGCGGTACGCGGGCCTCTCCCTGTCATGGCCCCCCCCGCCGCTGAGCACAGGCTCTGGCCGAGCAGGCTTAGCGGCCATGGCCCACGTGCCCAGCCGCTCCGCGGCACGTGGGATCCTCCCAGACTGGGGCACGAACCCGCGTCCCCTGCATCAGCAGGTGGACTCTCAACCACTGCACCACCAGGGAAGCCCTAAACATAACTTTTATATGCACTAGGAAACCAAAAGTTTCGTGTGACTTGCTTTATTGTGATATTCGCTTTATTGCAGTGGTCTGGAATTGAACCCACAATATCTCTGAGGTATGCCTGTACTTTAAAAGGCTGAATTTTATGGTATATAAATTATATCTCAAACCACACACACACACACGCGCGCGCGCGCACACACACACACGCGCGCACACACACACACACACACACGCACACACATTCTGTTACTGGGGAGGAAAAGTGGTCCTGATATACAGTGCCTCTGGGTACTTGGCAGAAACAAATGTGAATTCTCTCTAGATAAACATACCTTTAATCCAATTTTATTATTTACTGATAAAATCCTAGGGAATAAGAGATCACAGTAAAAAAAAAAAAAAAATCACAAAATAAACAAGAAAAAAGCATCTGTAGGCAAAAGTCAGCAAACTAGACAAGCAAAAACTTCAACTACTAGAATTATCAAAGAATGTAAGTAAATAAAACTCCATGAAAAGAAATAAGAAGAAATTGAAAATGAGAGAAAAAGAGACTATACATAATGGCCAAAATATATGAAAGAAATCTGAATGGAAATTCTAGAATTGAAAAAAATAATAATAATTAAAATTAGGAAACTTAACAGATTAGATACAGCTGAAAAGAGAATTAAGAATTACAAGACAGATGACAAGAGAATGCTGAGATGATATGAAAATACAGAAACTATGAAAAAGAGGTGAAGAGACAAGGAAGATAGAGTGAGAAAGTCCAACATATATCTAATTGGAGTTCTGGGAGGAGAAATGAGAAAAAGGTAATGAAAAGAAAAAGAAAAGAAAAAGGTAATTCAAAAAGGTAATGGCGGACTTTCCTGGTGGCGCAGTGGCTAAGAATCCACCTGCCAATGCAGGGGACATGGGTTCAAGCCCTGGTCCAGGAAGATCCCACATGCCGCAGAGCAACTAAGCCCGTGCGCCACAACTACTGAGCCTACGCTCTAGAGCCCTCATGCCACAACTACTGAAGCCCGCGCGCCTAGAGCCTGTGCTCCGCAACAAGAGAAGCCACCACTACGAGAAGCCCGAGTACCGCAACGAAGAGTAGCCCCCTGCTCACCACAACTAAAGTCCACACGCAGCAATGAAGACCCAACACAGCCAAAAATAAATTAAATTAAATTAAAAAAAAAAAAAGAAAACAAGACAGCAAATCCTGGATAACAATAGCACATAAGTTGGAAGGGGATGATCAGAATCATGCTGTATTGGAGAAGGTAACTTTAAGCTGTGTCAAAAATGCACTTTAAAGTTCCTCAAGCTGACCCTAAAGAATAAAAGTGGTAGAGCTTGGAATGATATAAAATTTCCACTGAGAGAAATCAATGAACATTGCCTAAAGCCAAAACCAAAACCAAACAAACAAATAAACAATAAACAGTAACATAAGCATGTTATTTAGAGATATGGACATAATTCCTAAAAGAATCAGTTGAAAGGGCTGAAAGTGGGAAGCAGAAAATGACAATGGTAGGAGTGGTCAGGGTTTTTATAATAGCCTTATAAAACGTATTTGATCTTTAAAGCATGCATAAGTTTGATAAAAATAAAAATTAAATTTTACAAGACAAGCCCCTGATGTCACTGGCCTGGGATTCCAAAAGAATTCCAGTATCCCACT